TATATTATATATGTTATATATTATATTACATATATTAAGCTTTTCTGCGTTCAAGATGAATGCTAAATTTAAAAATTAAGACGTTAAGAGCAATAGTTTTTTTTTCTCTTGGGGAAATATTCCGATTGGTTCCTCAAACCATTGGTGGGAATTTAAAAACTTTGGCAAGGTTATTCTTGGGCTCTTGAATTAATTGAACAGTCCAATTTTATGTTAATTGTGCAGTGTTCCTTTTCTATTTTAATTTGGTCTTAGTTGGTCTTTATTATAGAAAATATGACTCATTTTGCTAGTGTAATGTGCAATAGAATTATTCTAACTGTAAGCAAGCTGACAGGATATTACCTGATGTAAATTGGCTTAAAAGTAAATGCTTGAGATTACCGATATTTTAATTGAAATGCAATAGTTCTATGCATAATTTCTATGTTAGGAGGTTGATATTTTGTCCGTAACGCATATTCTACTAAGTGACCAAACTTGCAAATTAAAGAAATAATATAGAAATTTCTGCAGACCAATGAAAGCTTGGTGGCCTTGCTATTACGTCTTCCAGACAATATGTGTATAGTGGCTGATTCAGAAAAAGTGTTGCTGGAACATGAGAAATATAATGAATTATACGTATTATACGAAAGAAAAGGCTTGCATCGTAAAGGTATGGTTTTTTTCCCCTGTTTTCAACTTTTTTTCGACCATCATAACAGTTATTAAGAAAACACAAGGCTGAACATCCAATATTCGTGACCTAATTGGTAACACTTACTGTAGTATTTTTGGCTGGTTATTCTTATACTAAATGTCTTGCTGGTTAATAGTAGAGAGGAAAGAAATCTCTTCCTTTTTATTCAAAACAGATGCAGAAGGAAACTATCATTCGATAGGATTTTAAATCTTTTGTAATTTCGGTCTCAGAAACCGGAAGAATTCGCGGAGTGATTTTGAAGACTTATTTAACAGTATATATAAGCGCTTTGTATATTACCATAAATGAAGAAACCATTTGACTAGTCTTTATGAAGTTGATAGTAGTGAGTAACCTGGATATAGCTATCTAGATTACGAATGAAAGTGCTTGATGCAAGCCGAGAGCCTGATGGATCTGGATTATGTAGGTAGTCATTTGCAGCCTTAACTCTGCTAATGGAACAAGCTCATATACATGGAAGTCCATTACGAGGCTGTAATATGACCGTTGAATATCTGCAGAAACTGGGAAACAAGCATCTGGATCTAATAATCGAGTTTGCCGTTTGGGTTTTTCAAGATAACCTCAGCTCTGGTCTTTCGGTATATGCCTTATCTTAAACATTTTCGAATAATTTGTTCGAAAATCAAAACTCGAATTCAAATTCTTTTGGGAAATTCAAATCACAAATAAAGTCTCTGGTTTCCTTATTCTTTTCCAAACTCTTATTGGAGAAATTTTTTTTTTGCATATTGCGGCAGTTTAGTTTGTTGTTTCTTTTTAGCTTTTCATCTAGCACTTTTCATTGAAGTCTCAGTTATGAAACGATTCAGTAATAGTTAAATATTAAATACAAACTCGTAAATGGTAAGAACTATAAAAGAGTTTGGGAAAAAAAAATTTCAATGCACTTAATTTCTCATTCTTAACCTTTTTTTACCTTCACATCCTGTTCTTTTTTCTTTTGTCTTTATTGCCGTTCATGTTTTTTCCTATTATTACATGCGAGAATTTTTCACTATCACAATAAATTAGCGTCTATTAATAGATATGGGCTAGATAACTGATACTTTTGATTGCTTTGGTAACATATGTTATACGTTTCAAAATAGTGTACAATACAGACTCTTAATTATTATTCACAGTTTTTTGATCAAGGTAACTCTGTTATGAATTAAAATTTCGTAACTTCATCTTCTTAGGTGAGTGGAATTCTGAAGAAGTTAAAAGAAGTTAAATTTAAACTTTGTTAAGCATGATGTGGTAAATTCCAGATCTTCACTTACGATAGTGCGGAAGTTCGTTCGCTGGATCGAGGACGAGTTTTAACATTTTTAACGCACGAATGTACTGCTGCAGTGGTTCCATATTTAGTTAGTTTTTCTGGACATGGTATTAAATTTTAGGATTATATATTAAATTTTAGGACTTCACAATGTTATTGGAATTTTTTAGTGGTCTAAACATTATGATGCAAAAATCTAAGCGTTTAGGAGCATGTTATCTATAAATGGAACGAAAATATGCCTAAGTTTCACGAAGCATTGGGCCAACATTACATTTCGAAGGTGAAACAGTTACAGCGGGATTATATCAGTATTCTTGGAGAAGGTAGTAAATTGTTTGATTTTACTGAGGCTGAGGCTGATGGAATTTATAACTTGAAGATTGGTTCTGAAAAAAAAGTCATCTTTTCATTTTACATGCTTCTTCATTGCGTAATCTTTACAAATTTGATGGAAGTTCCACAGGTTTTAGTTTTAATTCGAGCCTTTTATTTCCAGATGAGCATGTCGCACCAGCTGGAGAGGAAGAAGGTGAGCTTGGCGAATATAGATGCAAACTTCAGCATTTCTTGCAAACTTCTACTGCTTACAGTCCGGAAAAACTACTGGTTCAATTGCGCCATAATTGTAAGTCTTAATGTTGCAATTCCATTATTTATGTTGCGTTATCGATATTCGATTAGCCACTTGTTTATGTGTTTAGTTTTTGTAAGTATTTATTGGAATTAGTACGTTTACACTTGTTTCCTGTTATGAAGTAAATTCACGCTAACAGCCTTTAACAGAAGACTTATTAGGATATTATAATTATTAAAGGAAATACAGAAATAAGTATTTGCAGCGTTATATGAAGAGAGGGCATTGTTATTAGGGCGACTGGAAAAGCATCAGCAAGCATTAGCTATTTATACGCAAATTTTGAAGAATTACAATGCGGCTGAGAAATACTGCATGGATTGTTATGAACCAAAGGATCCGAAACGTTCCAAGGTAATTATCGTAAAATTTGAAAATTCAGTTTCCAGAAATATTTTAAAGGCATGAAAGATATTCATCAATCTAGCATTCTTCTTTCAATACATCACTACAAATGATTTTAACGTCTGATAACCAGTTAGCCCAGTAATCTTGTATACCGTTTTTTGAAAAGGATGTATCCATTGTCATTAATAAAGCTATTACAATGACTAATGAAGGTTCATGTCAAATTTTTTTAAGGTATTTTTGATTTTACTTCAAATGTACACAAATCCACCGGATACATCTATTGTTGGATTAATGCAAAGTGATCACTGTCTCGTTGTACCAAATCCAAATGAAGCAGTTCGACTGCTGCAAAACCACAGTGATATGTTTGATCCAGGTTGGTAAAATAAGCAGTTCTGTCGTCTGGATTTCTCGATTCAAAAAAATGTATCATTAATTGAAAACTGAGTGTGAACTCGTTCTTTACTTTGATTTCAATTCGTTATTTACAGTAGAGGCGGTAACCTCATTACCTCTTGATTACACATTGAAATGTGTATGGCCTGGTCTCGTTACTATTCTGCAAACGGCACATAACAAGAAAAATACCGTAAGTATATTCACTAAGTACCACTAGATGTTTTCATTGTATCCTTGTCAGGTTTTTTATTCTCATAATGAATCTATTGAGAATTTTGAATTGCTAACCTTTTTTAGCGATTTTTCTGGCTTCTCAGCGTAATTTAATTGGATTTTGAAGTAATTTCCATTTCTGATGTTACTTGGTTATAATGACGTGTGAATCCAACCTCCATGAAGTGAAATCTTTAATATGCATGAAAGTCTGAAGGCTATCTGTAGGTTTCTTCGTTTTAGATTCGTATCTACTGTAGCCTCGGGAAGTCGTTCCGGATGGCGAAAAACGAGAATTTCGTCTTCCTTTTTTTTTTTGGTTTGTAAATGTTTCAGTAAATGGCTGTGTTACTTTACGGCGAACTTCTTAGTATTTATCCCTTCCTTAAATCCTTATTTTCTCTTCTTTTTTACTTAAAGCAGGCAGCACTCATTACTACTTCATTTGGAAGATACAGCAATAAAAATGAATGACGGAATAATTCGTAGGAAATGGTTTTGATAGAATCAGCGGTGGGACACTTTAGATCCCTTATTGATATTGTTTATCACACATTTGCCAGGATGAATTATGAATCTGTAATGCTGGTGCAATAAATTATTTCTTGACAATATCAGGCGTATTTGTGGGAGAATAAATCAATACGTTTTGTTCTTACAGGCTATGATTCATAAAGCTGTGTGTGATGCAGCATTGAAACATGCACTGCAACGGAAAGCCGTATCACATTCTACAAAATTTGTTGTCGATTACGAAAGTGAATGCGCTGCATGTGGAAAAAAAATTGCTAGCAGGTTCTTTTTTCTTTCTATTTATTTCTGAATTAAACAAGCGTTTTTACCACTTTGAGATTCGGTGTACAGTTGTCGGTTTTAGTTAATTACTAGTTTTTATGCTTACTTTCATTCTTCAGAATTCTGTCGCCTATCGTTCAGTCATATTATATTAGCCATTTGCAGTATGAGGGTTTAACTATTGGATAATATTCATCTGTGATAGTTCCAACTTGTTAATTTGTTTAACTCTCTTTGTATTTTTCGTTATTATTGAATTAGCTTTTCCTCAATGATCTTAGAAAAATTATATAATCTATTTCACTTTAGGTTATGTTATTTTCATTAGAGTGAATTCATTGCCGATTGTTTCGAAATACTTTGTTTTGTATACTTTGTGTACTTTGTTTTGTATACCGACCCCAGTTTCTTGGTTTTTATGTTCTATGACAACTACTGTTTTTTAGAAATAGCTCTTATTATTTGATTATCAGCATGCTCTTTTGCAATTAAGCTATTAAGCTTATCACAACACAAGTTTTCATTGGGTTTTTTTTTTCAATTAATTTTAATTAGCTCATTTTGCTGCCATGTCTTTGCCATTAATACTTTGTTTTTCTTTCAGGATTTATTTAATAGAACAATAAGCTCAGTTTTTAAATTTTTTAGCGACATAATTTGCTTGTTTTCTATCTTAAGTAATCATTCCAGTGCTTTCGCCCGATATCCGAATGGCCGTCTGGAACATTTTTATTGCTATCAAAGGAAGGGAAAAAAGTAAAGAAGAAAATCTTTTTTTTTTTGTGATATTTATGAGCTGAGTAGTACGGGAAAATACCCTATAAAACGAATTATTTGTTTTACATTCCACTTGTTATGTGTTTAAGAAATTTATTCTTTTAGTTCCCAAAGGTAATCAAATCTTTTTATCACTTTTGTGGAGTCTTATCATTTCCTGTTATTTGAATGAGGGACTTTAGGAACATGTTTGATTGCTTTAGCAATCATAGATTTGGTTGGTCGGAAAGATAACATGGGAAAAAATTAGTCAGAATTTATTCGCAACAAATAAAAATAGAAAAAAAGGGGTGTTGATAGCGAATATAAAATTCAACGCAGGTAATTTCCACTCATTTATTACGAATTACTTTTAATTTCATCCTGATCACAGGAAAATAAATGAAAACATCATCAGGAAACGATAAACAATCATAATCACAACAAAATACAATTTAAATTCTCTGCGGCTTTTTTTTTCGGAAACACTACATGTTCGAATTAATTGCTGATAGTTTTAAAATTGTAGAAAAAAAATGATAGATAAATCATGCAATTCAGATAGAGTAGATTCTGAAAAAAAGTTGAATTAATAATAAATGGAACAAAACAGTTCCAACCTATCTTGACGGAAATAAAGTTACCAGTTGGTTGGTTCTAACTTGGTTCACGACCGCTGGTCGATGAGAACTAAAATATGGCCTGCGTTGGTTACACAAGTTTTAAGAAAATCATATAATTAATACATTTAAAAAATAATTACATAATGAATGTTGGGGACATCATGTAATTAATATATTTGAAAAATTAAGTAACTGTCGCATAACTAATAAGTGTTAGGGGCGGCATATAATTAATCAAGTAATTATACATAATTAATAAATGTTTCAAAAAAAGAGACGTGTTTAATAAATGTTCAAGAGTCAAGTAATTATAATAATAAATGTTAAGAAAATTTTACAATTAGTACATTTGACAAATTAATTGGACAACGAATGGTAGGAAATTCATATGTTATTGTATAATTATTTAATTACGAATTCACACTTTGTTTTTTATTTCCAAATGCTTATTGAATATTCGTCAAGCCCATCTATTTTACCATTTTTTTTCTCTTCCTTGACCAATTATTATCATTGATTTTCCCAATGATGCGATATATAATGTTGTAAAAATGCTGAAAACAACTAATTAATTAATTAGCTGTGAAGTATTGTAGAAATTTAGGTGTTTTGTTTCTAAAGAAAAGAAATAGAAATGTGAATGTATTATTTGAAACTCTGCGTGCCTATAATAATTTTTCTGAAGCCCAAAAAGAATTCATTACAAAATATACCAATTAAAAAAAAACATAAATTAGAAAAAACAAACCTATATTTGATATACAATAATGTTGTCAACGTCAGACGTGAAGTACTTCAGACGTGAGATACGTGAGGTACGTTTACGTATGATGTATAATAGAAGTAGAAATATGAGAAGTATCAGAAAATACAGTAAAATAGTTAGGAGAAGAATAGAAAGATTAAAATAGGATATTACTTCATTTGTAGGTATTATTGATTCATCCAATAGCATCACACAATACGCATTACCCTTTGTGTTTTTCTCTTCTTTTGTTTTCCATAACAATATTTAATTTTTATTTCTAAAAATTAAATCGAATAAAAATTCAAATTTTTAGTTTTGAAATTTCATAGATAAGTGGAAAAGTTTTATTTTGTTTACTTTTATTACAAAATGCTTCAAATTGAAGGACAAATTTTATACGATAAAGAAATAATTTTTATAACATGTTATTCTACATGAATTTTGATTTTTCTTTCATATTTTGGTATCAATTAAATCTGTAATTCTTTAAAACTATAAAGCAATTCATTGTATTTAAATAATAAAGACAAAATTAAACTGAATCCATAATTAGATCATTAATTTTTATAGGAACGATAAAAATTTAAAGCAGAATATGGAGAGAGTATAAAAGTTCATTTAATAGAATATATGAATATATTTATAAAAGTTCATTTAATAGAGTATATGAGTATATTTATAAAAGCTCATTTAATAGAGTATATATTTATAAAAGTTCATTTAATAGAATATATTTCATTTAATAGAATATATATCTATGGAAAAGCGAGAGAATAGGCAAACAAGGTATTTTAATTATTCATAATAGTATTTAATTACTTAATTGTTCAACTATTCATAAGAGCTAAAAAATAAATAAATATATCTATATACTCATATACTCATGTACTAAAGAGAGTAGATGAGTTTAAGACGGAAATAACAAAAAAAG